TTATATTACAATATAAATTATTTATCATAAATATAAAATATAATTTATATATCTAAAAATATCTATTTATTAAATTTAAAATATAATTTATATATTTAAATATAATATTTATTTATATACATACTTTATTTTAAATTTTAGTTATATATGTGATAAATATTTAACGTTGAACAAACTAAAATACCAATTATTATTTTATTTTAGTAAAATAAAAAATCAAACAAAATTATTATTTTATTTTATTTTCCATCAATCTTTGATTTTTTTTTTCAATTTTTTATTTTTATTAAGGTTAGTTCAATGTTGAATATTCATCAAGTTAACAACAACAACGATAAACTTTGAATTTAAGATATTATGTATACGGGTCAATCTCTACTATTAGGTTAACATTAAAAAAATAGATTTAATTACATTTTTTGTCATAATAATTTCATAAATATGACTATATTTCAGTTCTTTTTAATTAAAAATATTTTACTTTAGTTCTTATACATATAATTTTTGTGTATGCAGTCACGTTAAATATTGGGGCCAGCTATTCTACCTTTTGAGGTGCCTCCAACGTAACGAGGAGATTAGTCACTACTATCGACGGTGGATATTCTAGGAATGAAAAAAGAATACATACAATTTTTGTTTTTTTAGTCATTGTAGTTGAATAGTTTCTATAAAAATTGTCATAAGATACTAAAATGGATAAAAATATCATATGTATAAGGATTGAAATAAAAAATTTTTAACTATTGAAATTAATATATAAAGTTTATAAAATTATAAAAACAAAAAAAGTGATTAAAAATGTTAAAACTCACAAAAATATCATAAAAACAAGTAAAATATACTGACTCTTATATATTAAACATAAATTTATTTTTTATGCGAAAATATTTTTAGAGACTTGTCTTTGATGAAAGAGTTTTTATTTTTATTTTTTTAACTTATTATCTAATTCAATTTTTATTTATCATAATTGTTTATAAATTTTTTTATATTTTAAAAATAATTAATTAATAAAAAATAATATTGTACTATAATATACATTATTTATCATAAATTGAAAATATAATTTATATGCTCTTAAAAAATATAATTCATATGTTTAAAAATATTTATTTATAAAAATTTTAAATATAATTTATACATTTAAACATGTCATTTATTTATATATAATTTATCATGAATTTTAGCTATATATAATAAATATTTAATCATAAAATTTTACAACAAACTTTTTTGGACTAGTAATTTAATTATCATCTTATTAGAAATAAGTATTCTTAAAAAATAACAAGTTAAGTACAGAAGGATCGAGGTAGTTAGAAACATGTAGATCTAAGTTCAATTTTCATTACAATCATCTTTGTAAGTTTTTTTATATAAAAAAAAAACATGTTAGTGAATAATTTTAATTATAATTATAATTTTAAATGACTTAATTCAAGAATTGTGATCATTTTAAAATTGAGCAAAACCAAAAAGTAGGTTAAAATTTTGATGAGCCCCGATAGTATTTTGGCGCAAAATCAAAGTAATATATAAGTATTGATTAATAATATAAATAAATAAATATTTATCATATATATTATATGAGGATGGATCCGTTTACTTTAAGAATAAGTCTACATAAACTTTTTTCATTCAATAATTCATGTTCTACATCAAATTTCAATGATCAAATCGTTCAATTCAAAGTTCTTAATGCATAGATCAAATCTGCAAATTTTTAGAAAATAAAAAAGTTATTTGATACTTCATTTCATTAATTCAAATAAATATATAAAATAATTTTATAATTATTCGTCAATTTTGATATATTTATTTGAATTAATGAAATGAAATATAAAATAATTTTTAAATTTTCTAAAAATTTGCAGATTTGATCTATGCATTAAGAACTTTGAATTGAACGATTTGATCATTGAAATTTGATGTAGAACATGAATTATTGAACAAAATAAGTCTAGATAGACTTACTTTTAGAATAAATGATTTCCTCTTCATATTATATTAGTTAAAGTTGGATAAAATGCAAGTTAAGAAGAGCAGGAATAACTCTTAAAAAATATTTTTATTTAGTATAATTGCAAACTGAGTCCTAAAAAAGTGTATTTATTTAAGATTATGACAAAAATAAAGATTCACATCAATAATTAAGGTGAAGGTGAAAATATGATACAATAATTAAAAAATTACTGAATATTTAGAATCCCAAAAAATCTATTTGTACCTCTAGGCGATAAAAACATTGCGCAGGTTTGGAAATGGGAAATTACCCGAACCAAACGGCCCTTAAGCAGTTACACGTGACCGAAGAAACAAATAGGGAGTGGTATAATAAGCTCTATTTTCACGCACCATTTATCACTATCTAAAACCCCCTTCTCCGATCTGACTCCTATCCGGTCCCAATTTTGCAGATTCCACCGATCTCGCACCAGGTTTTTCCTTATTCCTTTACTGCATCGCAATTTGTTTCTGATTCGATCATTTGGATTTTCTCGATCCATTCCTTGATTGCACACTCTGCTCGTTTTTTTTTTGTTTTTTTGTTTTTTTGTTTTTAATTATCTGGAATATTGAAATGACTTTTGAATCTGCGTTTCTTGTAGATTTGGATCTTCATTTTTATGGTACCAGTTAGGTAATCTGGTGAAGCAGAAGGAGGATTATTAGGAATTGACCTTGGATTTGATTTGATTTGATTCAGCAATGGCTGCTCCTGTGCCTCCAGGGGCACCTAGACCCGGCAGTAACACAGCACAGCCACCTCCTCCTAATTACATCCCTAATATTAGGGGAACACCCGATGCACTAGCTGATAATATGCACAATTTGAATCTTAATCGCCCTCCTATGACCTCAAATCCTGTTTCTAGACCTCCACCCTTTGGCCAGCCACCGCCTTTTGCTTCTTCGGCTCCTACGCCAGGGATCCCTGGGGCCTCACCGCAATTTTCACGACCCGGTCCACCTCCTGGAGCGATGGTGAGGCCTGCAGGGCCTCCTACTGGACAGCCATTGTCCACATTACCATCAAATGTTGCCCCTGGAAGGCCTACTGGGCCACCGCCTGGTCAACCTCCGTCTTTTGTGTCAAGACCCCCTCCCAATTCTCTCCCACCATCCGTGGGTAGTGTTGCTGCCCCAATTTCTGGGGTTCCTCCTCCGGGTGGTTCTCCACAAATGCGTCCACTTGTGCCACCTCCATCAACTATTGGTGCTCGTCCAGTTCCTAGTCCAAGTCCTTTTACTTCGCCTCCGATGAATACTCCCCAAGGCCCTAGTCCAAGTCCTTTTATTTCACCACCAATGAGTGCTCCCCCAGGTATACCCCCTGCAAGTGCACCTGTTAATTTGCTGAATAATGGGCCACCTGTATTTTCTGCTGGGGCCATGCCAGGTCCCCAACGCTTTCCTGTTGGCAGTGTGCCACAACCTTCAGTTGGACCTCTGCCAACAATGAGAGCTCCTCCAGGCCCAGCTGGTCAACCCCAGCCCCCATATCCCATGGCATCTCAAGGAATAATGCAGCCTCCAAGTTCACCTTTTGGAGCACCTTCTTGGCAGATGCAATCCCAGCAGGTAGCTATTTACATCTGATCTTTATTGTATTTGAATGGTTATTATCCAAATTTTAGCTATTCTTTACATCTGATCTTTATTGTATTTGAATGTTTATTATCCAAATTTTAGCGACAATATTTGTTGAACGAATTGATAAAAATAATATAACCTGTTCTTGTACCAGTACTATAAGGAATATTCTTCTGCATTTTTAAAGGAAAAGATTTTGGTGATTGAATGGGCATAGGTTAAGCAGATGTACAAAAGAAGTTAAAGAAGAAAGTAAAAAAAAGATACATAGGACAAGATATTCTCTTATTACAGCTATTGATGAGCAATCCACATACTAGTATTGTTTATTAACCAATCACCCTAAGGATGCCAAGAAAAAAATTCACCGCCCTATGTAAATCCAATGGCACAAGTTCTGCTTTGAAACTGTTGAATTCACCTTTAACTAGTTAGAACAAACTATTAATGTGTCTTGCACATAATATGACTGAAACAAAAAAGGAAGCTATATAGCTCCTTTCGCCACTTGTTTCTCTAATTCATATATATTTTTTTTTTTCGTTTCTTTTTAATTTCCAGCATGATCAGTGCTTGTGACTGGTCAAAGTAAGCACTTATTGTTATATGACTTTCTTCTGTTGCATTGGGTTTTAGTTTAAAGCACAGACACAATGTGATATGCTTTTTTTGTTGTGTTACACAGCTCTTCTAATTTGTGCCTCACATGGGTATGGTATATTGATGTCTGAAAATTATAAACCTTTAACTATCTTATGGTATTTGAGAATTAGTTTTTTCTTATTGGGGGTATTTAGACAAATGAATAGGCATTTGACAGTGATGAACATTTCATATGTACAATTGTCTGTGTGTGCTATTTAAGTGTTTTCTAACACCTTACCATGTCTAGTTCCCAAACTGTGTTTTCATATGCCCTATATGCATTTATCCACTTTTTGGAAATTGGTCTGGATTCTGATCATTCTAAATTATGTACAATGTAGGTAGGACCACCTCCTCCAGTTCCTGGTACTTCACAGCCTCCTAGGATGTTTGGCATGCCACCACCGCTTCCAAATCAATCTATGACTACTACTATATCACCTTCTGTTGGTCAAACTGGAGCCCCTATGGCAGGTCCTTCCAAAATTGATCCCAATCAAATTCCAAGACCTACTCCAGGTTCCTCAGTGATCTTGCATGAAACTCGGCAAGGCAACCAGGCAACCATTCCTCCGGTAGTCATCTGAATTATAAATGATTTTTTTTTTCTCTTAAAAAATAAATTAAAAAAAGGAAAGAAATGGCTTTATGTTGTTGTTTAGGCTTGCTAAATATGCTTGCATGTTCTTGGTCTTTGGTATTATAAGTTTCCTTTTCTCCTTTATTATCTTTTTCCTTTTATATTACTCATTTTTCAAAAGAAAAAAAAAGTGTAGTTTCTTAACTGATGCTTTCTGGAAGGTCATTTACATTGCATTTATTTTTGTGCAGCCTGCTACAAGTGATTTCATAGTAAGAGATACAGGGAATTGCAGTCCACGTTATATGAAGTGCACAATCAATCAGGTAATGTCTAACATAACATCTGCAATGTTTTTTAGCTTGAAATAAGGTCATGAGAAATGTTGGGATTTCTTGGCTTCTCACCTCTATTACTTGTTTGTATAGAGGACGAGCCTTGGTGCAGTGGTAAGGTTGCTGCCTTATGACCTTGATGTTAGAGGTTTAAATATTTGAAATAGCCTCTGTACTTAAGGGTAATAGGATGTATACATCCATTTCCAGTAGACCCCACTAGGTGGGAGCCTTGCACCAAGTCACCCTCTTTTTTTATCACTTGATTCTATATAGTTGTATTTGCAGCCTCTATATTGTGGTTGCTTAGAAGGCTTTGTTCTTCTGAAGTCATTTTTATGATTTGGCTTTTGAAGAGTTTTTTTTTCTTTTTCTTAAGAAGATGCCTCATTCTATTATTCTGTGATCTTCTCTTTCTATAAAAATATTTGAAGTGAATTTTAGTCTTATAATAATTTTCTGATGTTTGTTACTTAAATTTGAAATTGTCATTTTTGTATTGATCTTCTTTCATTTGCTATATTCTTTTGTTGAATGGATCAGGTTCCTTTCACTGCTGATCTTTTGACAACGTCAGGAATGCAGTTGGCTATGTTAGTCCAACCTTTGGCCCTTCCACACCCATCTGAGGAGCCCATTCAAGTACTGGCGATAATTTCTTTCTTTGCAGTTTCTGCATCTGGTGTTATTTATTTATTTTTTTTGTTGAAGTGATAGTCATAGATGTTTTCTGTATTTGTATTTTGTTTTTGAAGTTAGGACTTTGCTTTATCTTTCTTAAATGTTTGATGGCCAGCTAGCTATTTTCTGTTTGGGGAAAAGTTGCATCCATTTTAAGGATTCGTGAACTCAGCCTTTGGGTTTCTTTGTTCTTATTGTAACTTTCTGTTTCCTTCTTATATTTGCTAGTATTCCTTAGGGAATGTTGAATTCTTTTTTTGTCTTTTATAAGGTTTTTCAACTGTTTAAACTTGAAACTAATTAGATCGGTGGCTGTTGTTGAGCCCATAACTACCGTCTTCAAATATGTTTTTGTACATCTATAGTGGTGAATGTAAACTATATTATACTGTTATTTTAACATATTGCCTTCAATGAGGAAATTGTATATATATTTTTTTAAATAATTTTTTGTGTTGAATGCCTACTACCATAGGTTGTTGATTTTGGGGAGAGTGGTCCTGTTCGTTGTTCACGTTGCAAGGCATACATAAATTCCTTCATGAAATTCATTGACCAAGGAAGGCGCTTCATCTGCAATTTGTGTGGTTAGTACTATTATATTTGCTATACAATTGTTCATCCTACTATTGTTTGTTGTCATATTCTATGGAACCTTTATTGTCATTGGCTGGTAATTTGGTAAAGTTAATCAGTGAATTTAGTGGTTGGTTGATAATCATTACATGTTTCAAAAGTTTATGCTTTTGATGCACTAGTTATTTATTTATTACATTAAGGGTGCATTTGGAAGAACTTATTTAGGCTAATCTTATGTCGTAAGTGCTTGTATAAATGTTTGGAGAAATTTATGAAAATAACTTATGATATATCAATAAGATGTTTTTAGCTTATTTTAATAAGCTCTCTAGGATAACCTATAAAACAGCTTACAACTTATATGAAAACAATTTAACCCTATTTCTTTCAGTTATAGAAACAACTTATACATAAATGCTTTTAATTAAGTTGATTACCCAAACACACTCTAAATGTGATTATTGTTGTGTATGTATCATTTTCCTTTTTTTCTTTTTGATAAAAGAAATCCTTCAAGAAAAAGAAGAAAGTGCAGTAAATGGAATTTTGGGATGATGAGTGGTCCTCCTTAGGGGGTAAAATGAAATATAATACAACAAAATAAAAAGAGAAAACATCAATGGAGTTGCTTTGTTCCTCTTTGTATCCGATAAGGAAAACCCTTTAGAAAGAGCTCGTGCCTTACTCCAATTAGTAGCCAATTGCATAATCTTGTTCCAAATTAGCTGCCAGGCTAATGAAATGTCATCAACTTATAGCATATATTGTTTGTTACCATAAAAATTTAGATTATTCACTTTTGCTAAAACCACTAAAACTAGTCACAAATATTTATTCAAAGGACTTAAGATCCATCATTCATCAAAAAGGATGAACAATTCCATTAAGAGACCACAGAAGAACATGTAAAAGAACAGGTTCTGATAAAGTATGCATGGCACACATATCAGTAAAATACATTGTGTTGCTTGTGATCCTACAATCTGCCATTAAGATGGAAAGTAGCTCTGATCAACCTTTTACTTTAAAAAAAAAAAAATCACTGGATCACTTTTACAAGTAACAAGGCCTCACTATTTCTCTCATTATAGCTTCTTTATGATAGGATTATTTAATATTTTTCTTTTTGTCATTATTGTGACATAATCAAACATTTTGTTGTTAATATATGTCTGTTACAGGATTTAGTGATGAAACTCCACGGGACTACCACTGCAATTTAGGTCCTGATGGTCGGCGTAGAGATGCTGATGAAAGACCTGAGCTGTGTAGAGGAACAGTTGAGTTTGTTGCAACAAAAGAATTCATGGTTAGTTTATTTGTAAAATGTACATGACTTTATGAATATCAATTTTTGAATATGTATTTCTTTTATTGGTTGTTTATCATTAGAAAAATGTTCAATTTAAATAGTTTAAATGTGCAATAATTGTTGAAATCGAGATTATATATAGTCCATCATGGTTTAAACCAGTGTCGTTAAATAGCCGCTATAGGCTATTGTATTGTGGAATTCCTTGGATCCGCAATGACAACTGTGTCCTCTATTGCGGCCGCTGTAGTGTCACGGTTGCAGCATGTATATCATATAATTGATAATTGATATATATCATATATTTTAACTACTATGCAACCTCCGTTATCTGCCCAAGATGCTATCCACTACATGATATAGCAGATTATTGGTTTTCTGCTATTTTCCGCAATCCGCAATTGATAACACGGGTTAAAACCCACTCATTAACCTGAAAACATGACTGGTTGACTGTTGTTCAATGACACTTTACCAAAAAGTTCAAGTTGTAGGAAAAGAAACTAAACTTGAATTAAATTGGCACTGCTTGGATGCTTAAGTGAAATATAAATGTATGCTAAATTGCTAATAAGATAGCAATTATGACTGCCTGAAAGTTGATATAGGACCATTTGATGATCTCATTTCATCAAAAAGGGTTACTGCAGTACCATAATATGATTAATTATGCACGAGGTATTCAGGTAAGTGAGTCCCTTTTAACAAAATAAGATAGTTCACTGGTCTTTGCCAATAAAAAGTTCCTGAATTTCTTTCCCGTGACTTGAGAACAAATTGGTGCTCTTCTGGGATTGTAGCTTCCCACTTATAATAACCATTAAGGGAGACCTAAATATGAAAATTAGGCCCAGTAGCATCTAAATAGCCTAAAGCCCAAATGGAAAAAATGAAAATTAATCCATTATTTCAACATCAACAACAGACTTATCCCACTAGGTGAGGTTAATCTTGTATTTTAACTTTTTAATATTAAGAAACCTTGGCTGAAATTATGAAGTTAACAGGTAGCAGCTTACTAAATGTTTAAACCTAATCATTATTGAGCAATTGTACTTTTGTAATATATAGAAAATCACTCAGTATGTGTTTGGCTTAATTTATTTTATCACTCTTTAACTTAAATATGAACTAAGCAGTTTATGCTGCAGTCTGGAATAAGTTTTACTTTTCTCTTATTCTTGTTTATTTTCATTCTTTAGTGTCTGTGATGACTGGTGTGCTATTCACTATTTTCTGTAGGTCCGTGAGCCAATGCCTGCTGTGTACTTCTTTCTCATTGACGTATCCATGAATGCTGTTCAAACTGGTGCAACAGCTGCAGCTTGCAGTGCCATAAATCAAGTTATTTCGGACCTTCCTGTGAGTTCTAATTTTAGACAACTTATCAATCATTTATTAATGACAGTTTGTTTGTTGCTCAACATTTTTGAAATTTTCTCTTATTTCTTTGGACTGAAACTCAGTGCTTCATTACACTCTACTCTGTTTAGTTAGGTACTTAAATTTCAAGAGATAAAACCTTAAAGATTCTTCCCTCCTTTCTCCACCTGCCTTCAAAACAAATAATGAAAGAAAATTACTGAATTGAGTGGGGTGATAGTAAAAATTAATTTCCCACTATATTAATCCTTGCACTTTGTTATAACAGCTTAATTGTCAATTTAATGATGTATTATTGTATCATTTGAGCTTTTTATCTTTTGTCCCTATATTACATGAATTTGTGATGCATATCTTTGATGGTGATCTGGTAACACAGTTAATGCTGGAAGCTTGTACGTCCATTTTTAAATGTTTACTGAGTTCAAGCTAGTTAAAGTCCAAAGTGCACGTTGGACATGCAGTGCAGGAATTGCAATAATAATCCTGCCTCCATTTTATGTGAATAAGAATATCTATATTTTTCTGCTTTTTTATCTTCATTATTTATAATTATATATACGATCCTAACTGAATGTAGAGCTTAAATTAAATTCTGTTTAGGTCCTAACTGAATGAGAGAGTAGGGAGATTAAAAGGGAGAAATGTTTGTGTGTATCAGATCTCAACATCTGACTGAATTTCTATTAGGAAGCTTTGGTTTTTTTTTTCATTTTAGTGTTTGGACCAGAGATTCTTACAAATATCTCATTTTGTTTGACATACACTTCCTAACTAAATTTTGTAATCTATTGCTACAGGAGGGTCCTCGCACATTGGTAGGAGTTGCAACTTTTGACTCAACAATTCATTTCTACAACTTGAAACGTGCATTGCAACAGGTAGCTCATAAGTACACAATTGAACATATTCCTATTTTCTGATTTGGAATACTTAGTTGTAAATTCATATTTTCATTTAGTTTAAATTAATATTTTATAAGGAAATATATATTATTTGTGAAGTGAAGGTGGAAAATTTGTTTAAAAGGCCAGTATGTTGCTTTAATTGAATGATTCTGCTTTTAGAAGGTAAATGACAGTGAGGATTTATATACCAGTTAATTGGTGATAAAAACCTTTAGAGAACCACACCATAAAAGCTAGCTATTATTGTCGGAGAAATCAAGGTCTTATAAACCCACACTTGAATCCCATACATCTAATGTGGAACTCCATGTTCCATACCTTGCATTTGGATCCTTACAGTTGGTGTCTAGGAAACTGAGCAATCATTTTACTGTTTTTGCATCAGTTTTTTCTGTTTCTGATTAGTGGAAACATTGGTTATCAATTATAAATTTGTTTGCCTTGCTTTTTTAACTTCTGATTGTTTTGTGATTTGTTAAATTTAGTTATGAAGAACATTCCTTCAAAACTTAATAGAGAAATTGCTATTTATTGTATTAACTAACTGGGTAATTAGTTTAGAGAAATAGCTCTTTGCATTTTACAGTTATAAGTAATTGATTCTCAGGCTGATTTTGAAATTTAAAATTTGTAGCCACTGATGCTTATTGTTCCTGATGTCCAAGATGTTTATACTCCCTTGCAAACTGATGTAATTGTTCCACTATCTGAGGTTAGTTTCAAATATTTCCTGCTTGCAGAATTTTCGCAGATAAATTATTTTTGGAGAATGTATTTACTTTGTTTTATTTTTCTTTGTTTAGTATGGTTTTTCACTTAATTGGTTTGCTTCTTTCGTATTTATAGTGCCGTCAACACTTAGAATTACTTCTGGAAAGCATTCCTACCATGTTCCAAAGTAATAGAACCTCTGAATCAGCCTTCGGTGCAGCCATCAAGGTATTGCATTTTGCTTTAAAGTTGTTCTCTTCTTTATTTGTTAATCGCTGAGATGGTTGTAGAAATGGGATAATTTTTATTTTATATTTTATGTTAAAGAAACATGGTAAAGAAAGCGTGTTTTATTGATTGATTGAAGGGAACAGAACATGGAGAGAAATTTCACCCAAGGATTTCCCCATTACGAAGGGTTTCTGAGTGATCCCCCTACCCTTCTCCCTAGTTATATAATTAATCCCTCAGAGCGAACTTACCGTTCTAACTGTTGAAACTAACTATGGAGATTGAACTTCTTACAGCCAAGGTAGTCCTCTGTAATCTCTGAGAAACAAAAGTAAGACAAGAACAGAATGAAAATGGTTTCCAGCTCTTCAATACCGTTGCTTCCTCCCTGCCCTAAGGCCCCAAATTATCACTCAATGACTAGATTCCTCTCACCAAGATCCTCCCCTCCCTTTTAATCTTGTCCCTCACCACTTTCTCATTGCTTTGCATTTCCCATTCATCTTGCCATGTAGGCAAGTTCATTACATCCCAAATCCCTTATTCCTATCCCTTACATTCTATTCATTGCTGAGTCTCTACTCTCTATCCCTTATTAACTTTCTAATTCTCTTGACACATGCTTTAGTAACCAAAGGATTAATAACAGGCTATTGGCATTTTCCATTATTTTTACTGTCCTCTCACTAAGTTTGACAATGTGACATGTTCATCTACCCTACACTGATCAAAATGTGTATGTGAAAATATGTTAATGCTTATACTGTTGTTTTTTTGCTTTTAGGCAGCTTTCCTTGCAATGAAGGACACCGGAGGAAAGCTGCTGGTTTTCCAGTCAGGTGAATTTCTCAGCTTGAGTATTTGTTAAATAATTTATCTTTTTTTTGCTGGCAAAAATAATTGTTGAAATCAGCATCCTAAGTGGGTCATGATGGATGGGATATATAAAATCATGTTATATTAATTTTCTTGCTTGAATGTATTATGTATACATCTCCACATTGTTATGTGACCAATTCTTCTCCTTTTGGAATATGACTTGAGTAAAAAGTCAGCATCCAAGTTAGAAAGCTACATATGTTCTGAAATACACATTAGGGTTAAAGTGAAAGAATATATATAATTAAGAAAAGCTCTGTTTGGATAACATGTTAATGACAAAAATTGAATAATAAAAATTAATATGGTTGGTTGATGTGGCATGAAACGAGTCCTTAGTAAACAAACACCATTGACACTATGTAATAGCTTTTATTGTCATTAGAATCTACTCTTTCAAAAGTACTAGGTCCTGCCATTAATTGTTCATGCCATTAATTTTGATAAAACATCTTGAAACCTTAATATGATTATAGTAACATTGGAATTATTTTTGTTTGGCACTGGTTTATATTGTAACTTTTTTGGGTCATCCTTTAATCTTTTGTTTAGTTTATTGTCATTATATTGTTTTTATCTTACTCCATTTTCCCCCCCTTCTTTTTTGTTAGACTGTAGCGTGTTTTATTTTCTGGTTCATCATTGAGTATGTTTGGTTTTTCTCATGATTTTTTTTTTTTTTTTAATGTTTGCAGTCTTGCCATCTATAGGCATTGGTGCACTTTCGGCACGGGAGGCTGAGGGTAGAACAAATATCTCTGCAGGTGAAAAGGTATTCATCTCGATTTGGTTGCTGAATTGTTAGATTCTTTTTGTTATAACAGAAAATATATCAATGTTATTTATGTCATTTCCTTGTTATAAGCTCAAGCTTGATAGATGGGTGACACAAAATGGGATTAATTCAAAACATATTTGCAAGTCCTATTGTTTCTAGTGATGAGAATGGAAAGAATACCGACTTTCATAGATGTAATATTTGAGATTGATTTATATTAGATAAAGTGAAAAATATTCATCTGTATAATATGCTATTCCATGATTTATCTGATATTGTTTTATCTGTTCTACCTAGTACCTTTTGACATTCTGGTGCTGATAGTTTTTGCATATTGTTCAATGAAATCACATTCTTGTCAATTTCAGGAAGCCCATAAATTACTTCAACCTGCAGATAAAGCGTTCAAGGAACTGGCAGTTGAATTTGCCGAGTATCAGGTTAATCTTGAGTACTTTTGCTGTGATTCAGGCATTGCCTTTTTTTCTGATTGATTTTTCTTGTGAGCTTGTTTGGTGGACAGCTTGATATGTGGATCATTTAAGTATAATTATTTCTTATGCTGCAGGTTTGTGTTGATGTGTTTGTCACTACTCAGACTTACGTAGACATTGCTTCCATATCTGTTATCCCACGGACTACTGGTGGACAGGTATACATGAATTTGTATAGCTCTGTTGTTGAAGTAAATGATTGAAGTGCTAGCCTTCACTGGTTTTCTTATACGAAATGAGTTGGAGCTCTGATCACTGTTTTTTCTTAAATCGATTAGACCTTTGCTACAAGGATGGAATGTTAAATGTTATTTTTTTTTGTGCTTTACTTGTATAAATCTCTCCTTTTGAAAATGCTGGAGATGTTTTTTAGCTACTTGCTGGAAATTTTCAATGAAGGAAATGGAGTTAAAGGGGGAAGTAATTAAAAATCATATCATAAATATATAACGAGTAGCAGTTGTTGTTTCTGAAGAAATGGGAAGCATTAACTATAAACATAAAGGGTTTTGCAATGGTAGCATCTTTGTTAAGGCTTCTATGATTGTTCACAAATCAAAAGTTAATTTCACCAGAAAATATTTATATACTTTTTAAATGTTCAAATATTATGTAATAATTGATAGTGTTTTAATTTACAGTACTTATTACATTCATATCGCCTATTTTTAATCACATGTTCTACATATTGAAGTAATTCACACTTTTTTTTTCCAGGTCTATTACTATTACCCCTTTTCAGCTCTTTCTGATACGGCTAAACTTTACAATGATCTTAGATGGAACATTACTAGGCCACAAGGTTTCGAGGCTGTTATGCGTGTGAGGTGCAGTCAGGTAGTCTGTATGTTTCACTTTCTTTGCTACCTTGTCACATGACAGACATATAAGCCTCACAATTTTCATTTTTTATTCCTTTTGTCAGGGTATTCAAGTGCAGGAATACCATGGCAATTTCTGTAAACGCATCCCAACTGATGTTGACTTACCTGGGGTCTGTATATTTTTCTAGATTCTGGATATAATTATATGCATGTGTATATAGGAAACCTTGAGCATATTTTTATCTGTGTACATGAACACATTAATGATTAAATGATATAGAGATCTGTTGATTTTTTAAATTGTATAATGTAACTGACAAGTTGATATATGCCAAATCACAATTCAGAATTTCTGATATAATTAAAAATATTTAAACTCCTAGAATTAATCCTCTTTGGAACAAGGCTATTAGAATTTGGGTTTAAGAGTTCCATAATCAATATTGTCACCAACTGTACTTTGTTGTGCTGCTGTTCAGGTTTAGTTAATATCTTTGGATTATGCGTGTAGATTATACAAAGTGATATATAATTGAAAGGGGATCCATATTTTGATTTGATCTAGTGACTTCCATTATTAATGAAAATTTTTCTCAGGTTTGTCATCAGGAAAATAATACTAACTTCTACTGAGATGATGATATATATATATATTTCTTTTATTAATTTTCTTTTTTTATATGGCATGACATATAGAGATAATGTAACATTAAAGATTTCATCATAAGAACTACTAGGGTTGGCGATGCAGACAAACTGTTATTTTTTTTTTGGGTACTACATTTTACTGATTTGGCTTATTTGAGTGGATACCATCAATCAGCTAGCTAGGAAACAAAAAAAAAAGGATAAAAGAGGAAGGGATGGTGGTATTACTGAATTAGTTTAAATAGAAATATATAGAAACAAGATCTGATATGCTGTCCAGTCATATTTATATACTTACAAGTGGTCCCATGTCATTCATTCTTATGCTGACCCAAACTAGAATTCCTTAAATATATTTTGGTATGTTCAACCTGTGGTTTAATTTTTCTTTTGTACAGATTGACTGTGACAAAACTTTCATGGTAACTTTGAAACATGATGATAAGTTGCAAGATGGATCAGAATGTGCTTTTCAGGTATTTGGGAAGTTTACTGCTCTACTTTTTCCCAAGGGATTTATGATCTTCAGTTCACCTTATATCACTCTTGGAAACTTGTTAGTCACTTTGGGTGAAAATATTCTACCCATTTTGTTCTGATTATATATTCTTTTTTTCATTAGTGTGCCCTTCTTTACACAACTGTATATGGCCAAAGAAGAATTCGTGTCATAACCTTATCTCTGCCTGTCACTAGTATGCTCAGTAATCTGTTCCGCGCAGCTGACTTGGATACTCAATTTTGCTGTTTCTTAAAGCAAGGTATATGCATCATTTATTCTCAATATGCATCGCCATTATGATTATTCTGTTTTTGAAAATTGTGGTTGCCAGATATTGACTGTTAACAGCTCTATTTTGAATTTTGTTGACTTTATATATATTATATAAATGTTTCCATGGCGGTGTTATCCTCTTCATATTTTAGATCGTCTTTACAGGTATAATTTTTGGGTGGAGGAATTTAACATTTTTTTTTTCTTGTAGCTGCTAGTGAGATTCCTTCAAAGCCACTCCCACTTGTTCGGGAACAAGTGACCAACCTTTGCATCAACGCACTATTTTCATACCGTAAATTTTGTGCTACGGTGTCCTCGTCTGGACAACTGATTCTTCCAGAGGCACTAAAGCTTTTGCCCTTGTACACACTTGGTATGTATGAATGATATGCATTTCAGAGATTTTTGATGAAAAATGCTGTGGACCTAAAGATATTGTTTGTCATAGTTTATTCATCTGTTGCTTTCTACCTTGGATATCAAAAAGATCATTTTAACCAATTATTTATTTATTTATTTTTATTTTTTATTTTTTATATTTGTATGTTTTTACATTGCCACTCATTGATATGCCACTAACTAGTGTGATCAAAATTGGATAATACTGCATTTTAGAAGATACCATTTAGAAGAAATTTTCCTGCATTTTATTGGATTGTATTGTGGATATGTTTTCATGTGTTTCCTCTTAAAATGTTCATGGCCTTTTTGCATTATTTTCCTTATGCTGGTCCTTCTGTTTTGATGTAATTTTGTTTTCATGAATTGAGGATGACTTTCAAAGCTGATATACTTGTGCTTGATTTGTCAATAGACAATCTTGATTAATGAAATTCAAACTTCGATGATATGGTCTCCTTAAGAGGGCCTATACAAGTGGGTGCTAATTTCATTTTTCATTTATTTTTCAGCATTAACCAAGAGTACAGGGTTGCGAACTGAGGGAAAGATAGATGAACGATCATTTTGGATAAACTATGTTTCCTCTATCTCTGCTCCATTAGCAATTCCACTTGTGTATCCTAGGATGGTGGCTATCCATGATCTTGACTCAAAGGTATATTGGTTAATCATGTTAAAAGAATATATGATTATGAAAAACCATGATGTTCTTGTGTGAAATGCGTTTGATTGAATTGCATATTAGGAAGTACTTGATGAGAACTTGATAATGTATTGAATATTGAAAATGATAATGAATTCATATATTAAAAGTAGGCATGTGGTGCATGCTCTTTGATTAATATGAAATTTTTCTTGAGCATAGTAAGCTAGGTGAAGAAACGGGTTGCATGGTTGATGTTTCATGTATTTATATTACATCTTGAGAAACTGTTACTAATATAGTTTTTATATATTGCAGGAAGATGAAGAGTCTGTTATTCCTGCCTTTCTTCCTCTTTCTAGTGAACACATAAGTGATGATGGAGTATATCTTCTTGAGAACGGTCATGATTGTTTGATATATGTCGGAGACTCTGTGAGTCCAGACATTGTGCGGAAACTGTTTGGTGTTGCTACAATTGATGAAGTCCCTACTTTGGTAATTTTCATGCTGTCCTGTCTCTTTCTCTCTCTCTCTCTCTCTCTCTGCCATTGTCTAACAGCAAATTGTCTGTCAAATTCTACCCCTAGCAGTGGATGTTCTGAAAGGAATGTTCAATTTTCTATCATCATTAAATCATACCCTGGTGTATGTTAGGTCACATGACTCTTTAGTTTGCTGAAAGAAAAAGTTATTTTAATCTTGCTGCTCTAATGCTTTTCTAGTGCTTTATGGTTCAGAACTGGCAACGCTAAGTTAACAATTATGTTTTATCAGTTTGTATTGCAGCAGCATGACAATCCACTATCAAAGAAGTTAAATGAAGTGGTAAATGAGATAAGGCGGCAAAGATGTTCCTACCTCCGGTAAAATAATTGTTTTGACAACTATAGCATGTTTGATACCTTGTAAAACTAAAAAATAATCTTTCATGTGATTTAATGACTAAATAAAATGGAATATTTAAATAATCTTTTTAACTCTGGCAGGTTGAAGCTCTGCAGGAAAGGAGATCCATCAGGTCAGTGCATTAGAATGATTCTGTAAACCTGATTGCTTAACGCAGGCTGGATTTTTTTAGTATTAATTTAGAACATGAAACCCACATGGCTTCATTCTCCAATCTTATTAACAATGTTTCATTTTTTCCCATATTTTGAATAAGTTCACTGTTTGCTAGTTTCATTTGCATAGCCTTCAAACATGTTGCTTACTCTCTTTGGTAATATTTGCTTCTTGATCCGTTGCTCTATGTTTTCTTGTGAAGCATTGCTTCCTGGTACTTGGTGTCCGAAACTCGAGGATGTCCACTAGAGCATTAAGATATTCACACCTCCGAGCAACCTTTTTTTAAAAAAGAAAATACTAAACACTAATTGTTTTCTTTTTTGTTGATTTCAAATGAACATGTTATTTCACCATCTTTCATAATCTTTGGCATCAAGCATTCTTCCTGATTTTTAAACATGCTCAATGGTTCTACTTTTAGTTTCATGATTTCTTCTGAAGGTGGATGCTTTGCTATGTGAAATTTTTCTGGGTTGGTATATCATGAAACAGTACTTGTAATGTTGGTAGTATATACTGTTGATGGAATTTATGGTGTCCCCTTTTGCTAGGATTCTAGTTTCTTTGCAGAGTTACTTTATGCTTTTTTGTTTGGATTACTTTATAATAAAACATTAGCTTCAGTGTCAAAACACAATTTTGTTATGATAAAACACTTTTTAGCAATTTGAAATATTAGCTTCAAGTTCAGAAGCAATATGGTTAGCGTGCCAATCATGTTTTGACTCAATTTACAACTTGTCAGTTAAATTCTCAACGGAACATTTTTGTTTGCAATTCCTAAATAGATGCTTCACTGTTTACTAAGCTTAGTTGTTGGTATGCTGGACTAGTTTAGAATAGGAAGTATTCAAATAGAAGAAGGAAATTTGTAGACGGTTGTTATGGTTGTGTACATTGTTCTTGATTTTTGAACTTACAAATCTTATTTACTATCCATCAGGAATGTTATTCTTCTCATATATGATAGAAGACAAGAGCGCAGGTGGCTTCTCCTATGTAGAGTTTCTTATCCATGTTCATAGGCAAATTCAAAACAAAATGACATCATAACGAGTATATGGCAGCTTCAATTTTGCAAGCTTTTAGACCTAAATGATAGAGCAAGCCCCAAGTATAGGTGAAATTTTGCATATTTATATGCGCATTCAGATCCTCGAGTTTGTCAGAGGAAAACCAGACGATACCAGTTTTTGTCAAGTTTTGTTGATGTACATGTATAAGCTATAATTAATGTTGGTGATAGTTGGATTTTTCTGAGAAGTTTTTATTTATTATTTTTTTTGGATTATATAGTTACCTGACAAATCAAATTTTATGGGCAATTGTGTTTTCATGCGAAAAATTAAGAATGTCTTGCTGTCATTTTAATAAATTTAGAGAAAGACTGAGATAGGTTGAGTAAAAGAATTTAAGTAAGTTTGAAAATATTGTTCAACATGCATTTCATTTTTAGTTTAGCAGTGCTAGACAGTAGAAAGGTTCTTACACGAAAAAATACAAAATCAAAATGAACAAATGATGGGGAGAATAAAAATTGTTTTCTAATGAAATTGAAACGGGCAGTATTCAGATTAATAGATCACGGATTGCATAGATCTGTTGGTAGGAGAATATTTAGAGATCTTGTTAAAATTCTTAAAAAATGTTTCTATTAAAAATTCGGATGGAGGGTTTTGTTATGTGCGGTAGTGTTATCTTATTCTATTTGAATTAGTTGGATGTTAAATATAGTATTGAAAGTTGAAATACCATAATAATATTAAACTGAGTAATGTTAATAGTCACCAAATAGTCCATGTGAGGTGGGTTATAACGAATGTAACTTTTTCCTATTTTTATTTTTAAAAAATTACTTTAGGAGTTTAAGGAGAGTCTCACAAGCTTTTTATAAGAGTGAAGGAAAAAGAAGATAAAAGAATAAAAGTTCTCATGAAAAATTATAGATATTTTTAACATAAGTTAATTTATGTTAAAGAAAATTGATTATAAATTTTAATGACATCGAAAGTATTATAATCGTTGTCCAAACAAGAGATTTTGGCTGCCACCAAATCAACTGTGTTTTCTAGATAACAAAAATAAAAATACATCTTCCAGAAAATGACATTTCACATGATTTAAAATATTTTTTTAACGTTTATAGGTTTGAATTTCCATTCTTGAATAGTAGTTTTTTTTCTGAATTATTTTCATTATTGATAAGCCGCACAACTCTTCCTAAATTTAGAATTTTATTTTTCTTTGTAATATTTTTTATTTCTTGTTAAACCTATTTCTTAATTTTATTTATATTTTAAATCTTGATACCTTGTATCAAATTAAAAGAATAATAATAAACAATTTGAAAACTACTTTAATTTTAATCAATCCTAATAAATTTTAACATTGCAATAATAATAATGGTGATATCCTAATTTTAATAATTTATTTCTAATTTCTTTTGTCAGTGTTAAAAATCTTATTAATTTATTCATGTTTAATGTAATAAGGTTTTGTACTAATAATAAATGTTAATTTGTTTGAATTTTAAAATTTCCGTACAGTGTATAAAAAAACTAATTGGTATTTTGTTAAGCGCAAATTTTCATAGCTATTGACAATACTCTTTTAAAGAAGAGCTATTTTCTAATACATTTTTTTAAATACATTTTATTATTAATTAAAATTTAATGAAAACTACAAAATTACATTAGAAATTCACTAAAAGTAAAGTAAGATTCATAAAAATTTGTAATTTTCAACAAATTTAAATCAATAATAGTGTGTTAGAGAATGTCATTAACATTTATCTCTATTAAAATATTCAAATAAAGTTTCAATTCATACTTATTTTCCCTCTTGCCAGGTCTACAGCATAGATTTTGAATATTTCTCCTGCACAATACGGATATCAAGCGACTACAAAACGAGATTTCGGATGTGACTTCCATTTTTGTCCAATTCGCTCAACTCACTGAATTCCGGAGACTGGGCGGTAAAAAAACAAGGTGGACAAGAAAAATAAGCTGTCTGGCAGCAAAATTTATAAATAAAGCTCAAAATATAAGAGTATTCAAGTATTTAACCTAATAATAGTGTTTTAAGAGTACAACACTATAATTTAATGGTAAAAAATCTTAAAAAATATAGAGAATATTATTCATCACACAACTTTAAAAGAATAAACGGTTTTCCGTAGCATCTATCTCACCAAGAAAATGCATGGCTTCCCATGCCTTTCTTGCACTTTGATGAATTCTTTAAGCTGAGACACGATACATGAAAAATAAGATTGGTTAATTGATGTATTAGTAATCGTTAGGAATTCTCTTTGAAAGGCCACGAAGGAAACGGGTGAGAGCCTTTCTAGCCCCAATTGTTGCTGTCTCTATCTTTTTCGCCTCTTCTTCATCAGCAGCCTTCATTTCTTGAGTTAAGTGCACTCTACGTACAAGCTTTCGCAACTCCTGTTAAAGGTAGTTATGGTGTTATGTGAAGACAACATAGAGTGTGGGGACAAAATGTTCTTTTTAAACAGGGTTTCTAGTCTATTTAATATATAAAATACACAAACAAACACACATTAAAACTTCGGGAGTGTTTCTTTTGAAAAGCTGAGAGAGCAATCACCCATAAGTTTGCACAGGGTTCCGCTCCTGAATGGTTGATTTGAAGTAAGCTCTTGAAATTAATTCCCATATGATGTTAAGATAATGTATGAGTCACAAGCAATCGACATGATTCTGAAAAAATTTGCACTGTTTGATCAAGCATAGAGCCAAACTATTACCTGGCGATCAAATTCAACTCCCTGGACTGAAAAAATCTCATTGCTGATTTCAATGTTCTTACTGATCAAACCATCGAACCACCTTGTTACTTGAATATCAATCCAATCAGATTCCTGACAGAATGCTCCAAAAATAAGAATACACCTCGAGGACAAAATAATTAATACACAACCACTATTGTGAAAGAATGAAACGATAAAGGGTGTCATATTCAACTTAGTAGAGTCATGTCTAGTCAGCATAAAATTCAAGTATAAATGCATACCTCCTCATCCTCCTCAGATTCAGATTCTACCAAGTCATCATCTTCAGGGTCATCAGACCCTAAGCCTGTTAGAGCTTGCAGCTCCTTGTGATCAGAATCTTTTGTTGCTCTAATTAATCGATCCATTAACTCGGGATCCACTTCCCGCAGCAATTTTCCTGAGACAATTTATGTACGAAGAACATGAATCTGCACTGCAGAATGTACATGATATCAAATCAACTTACCAGATATGCATCGTTTGACAATTGTACAATAGTCTAAACTAATCGATCGCAACAAGTTAAGTTATCACAAGAAGCCAAGATGCATATATATCAAATACCATAAATGCATGACGCTTTCAACCGAAACATCTCACACAAAACATTACTGCTATTTTGGAATCGAAATGGTCTGAAAGTAATTAACTACCAATATAATTAAACTGCCTCCTCCTTCCTTCACGGACATCGGGTCCCAGTCTCTGCGGCAAAACAACAAACACTTTACCTTCAACAACAGACTCGTCCACCATCACATTTTCACAACCCAACTAACTAACTAAATAAAATATTCTGGTAAAACTAATTTCATGATGACTATGATAGAAAAGAATAATAATAAAAAAAAAATACCTTAACCAACATAAGAGCTTCGAAGACGACTTGGTCCAATGAAACGACCCTGCACCCGAAGAGAAAAGAGGGGAGGTTTTGAGCAAAGGTGGGGACTTTGTGAAGTGGGCACAGAGGAAAAGGGAAAAAGTGAAAGGAAACGAAACCTAAGGATGCGTTTGATTTGTGGGGCGGAGAAGGAAGCTAAGTCGATGCCCCACTTGACAGCGCGCTTGGCCTCTCGCTTCAATTCGTTGCGGCTCTTCTTGGCCTCGGGATCCGTGTCGGGGGAGGAAGCGAGCGTGGCAAAGGAGCAACGGTGAGAGGTTGACGGTGGCTTTGTGGGATGAGGGCTGAGAACGTGGCGGTGGTGGCGGGGAAGGGTGACACAAGTGCGGTGGTGCAACCATGGCCATTGCCATTGCCATTGCCTTAGAGGCCGTAACACTTGTTGGCTCATCACTCTTCAATTCTGCTACTTCAACTTCTGCTCACTCTCCATGCATTTTATCTATACATCTATTTTTTTATATTTTATTTTAATTTTATTTCTATAATCAAATATAAGCTTGAAAATTAATTATAATTTTTTTTTTTTCGTGAAGTATCAGTGAAAATTAATTATAATTTAAACTAATTATATATTAAACTTTATTTATGAAAAAGAAAAATCGGCATAAAAAAAACACAGCATTTTCGGAGTGAGTGTTAATTAATTTTAAATGAATTCTAGATTAGTATGTGACCCAATTTCCTTCTGGGTCCTGAACAGGAGACACGTGCGTGCTTAGTGCTTACGCGTGGAAGAAATGAAACGCAAAAGGCGATGTCGTTTGAAAATGTCACTGTTCCAACAAATTCGTTAAGCTTAAGCCCTGCGCCATATCTACCCTTCACATTTGACCCCTTTCTTCTTCTCTTCCAAATTCAACGCTCTACCGTTTCTCATCTCTCTCTTCAATTTCGATTCCAGGTATCTCTGCGCTTCACAAATCTCTTTACTCATTATTCGCATAATTTCTGACCCGTGTAAAAAGTAAACCATTTTTAATAACTTGACCTAATTAAATCTCTTTATAATTACTAGGGAATAATGCTTCATTGTCTGTTTCCCTCGATTTTATTTATGGTAATTGTTTGAATCTGCTCGCTGCTGATAAGTGATAACTACTGCTATGTTTTTATTTATTTATTTAATGGAAGGGGTTGCGACAGTGTTGTGATGCCGTGTTTGGGCAATAGGAATTGCATATGAAAAACGTTTTTTTTCTTTCATTTAATTTGAATGGGCACTAAATAAATGAAAGAAGAAGCCAAAAAATCGTGCTTTTGTCTGATCTTCCTGTCACGTGTGTGCTTTGCTCTATAGAGAGAATAATCATTTAGATGGTCACTGTTTATTAGGTTTATTCTGATCATGGCTGCCCCTATGAATGGATCATTGTTTGTTTGGCTAGAGAAAACGTTTTCAAGAACTTCCAATATCTAAAGTTGATCAAATGATGTAGAGAAAGAGCGGTAGATAATTTTTTTGGGTATTCCTAGATTATGCATCTCGATAATCATCAATAACAGATTCAGAGGACTTATAAAACTATGGTAGACTTTAACGCAAGTCTCACAGATGAAATAGGTGATTGCTCATGCACAAATACGTGAAGCAAATTGAAGCATCGGTGTTTCATATTGTTTTTTCTTTCCTGATCTGTGAGTGGAATAGTGATGAGCTGCAACGGGGTGGATGATATTCAATAAGGAGAAGGATGCATGGTCATGAGCCTTTTTATGAAAACCACTTTGCTTTCTGATCTTATATTGTCATTATTTGGGTTTCAAAATTAAATAAATATCTGCATTTTATATACATTGGTAATATATTCCTGCTCTGTTAAAATCATCTTACAATTTTGTAATGACAAATTAGAAGTAGCAGTGGTATCAGATGGCTTCCTTCAGAGCATTCTTGAACAGTCCAGTTGGTCCCAAAACAACCCACTTTTGGGGACCTGTTGCCAACTGGGGATTTGTGGCAGCTGTGAGTTTCACTTATATGTTCATCTGTTTATATCGTTGAATAAGTCCCGCATTTATTTACGTGACAAGTTTATTCATAATGCAAAAGGGTCTTATCATTCATAATTTTTTTTATTGAAAGGGATTGGCTGACATGAACAAACCTCCAGAAATGATCTCTGGCAACATGACAGGAGGTTTATCATCTCTGTTCCCACAAAATTTTGAATCTTTTTCTTCACATATGGTCTGTTGCTTATTGCGTCTATTTTTTGTTGTTAATGTTGCAGCAATGTGTATCTATTCAGCATTGTTCATGAGATTTGCATGGATGGTACAGCCACGCAACTACCTACTTTTGGCTTGTCATGCCTCAAACGAGACTGTTCAACTCTATCAATTCTCCCGATGGGCCAGGGCAGAGGGGTAAGCAGCTTGCCTATAAGAAAAACTAAAATACTATGATTTTAATCAGTTATATTGGACGTTACTCTTTCTGATGTTAATTTTTCATGCATTACAAATGCTATTTTAACCTGTATGATATGAAACTTTTGCTACGAATTGCTCTGTTGTCTATGATTTAGATTTACCCGAATGTACATTTAGGAAACAGGGCCTTAGTTGGCAATACGTTGTGCAATCACAAATTTGCAATATCAACATGGCCATGCTCTAACATACAGTTTATTAGAATACAGTTGATTTTTTATGATTTTTCACTATCATTGACTCATTGTAGTTCTAGCGACTTCAACCTCTATTATGTTAGATAGAGTGTATTATTAACCTTTCTCTTGCTATGTAGTTGTTTATATAAATTCACCCCCTACGGGGGCTGCTCCTTTCTGCTACATCTTTATTTGTGCTGGTCTTTTATGCATCATCAGACATTTATTTTATCTCAATGGAGTAGTGAATTTCAGTTTTTACTGATAAAATTTGCTTCTGTTACAATTTCTTTTTAAGGCTTTTCTCGGCTAAGAAGGAGGAAGCTTCATCAGAGTGATTTTATGCTGTCACTTTCCTCATTGAGAGTGATTTGAAAGATTTTGCATTTGAATTGCCGATGTATGAATAATTGGTTACTGATTGTAAGAAGGGGCTTGTGGAAATTGTAAAAAAGATTGTGGCTGTGCAAGGGTATTTGGATTAAAAGGATTGCACGAGTCTAAACTATTTGTTGACACCTCGTGGGTGGGTTTTATGTGTCTAACATATAACTGACCCAGAAATCATTAAACTTGAAGCATAAGCCAAAGATTTTTCTATTATATTATGCTGAAATCAGTTCCATTACAAACTACAAAGTTGGGGTGCTAAAAGTTGTACCGTGACTATTTATTATGTGTTTGAAAATCCGTTTGCTTTGATATAATCAGGAATTTCACTTTCTAATGCACAAAATTACTAAGCAAAGATTTGTAACTTTTATTTTATCGTTGGTTTGAGGGGCTTGAAACCTCATTCCAAACACACGCATACTCGTGGAAACTTGGATGTCATGGTATTAATTTTTGATGCCCTATTCGTTCTAAATTATAATTTGAGCACGAGGATTGAATTGGTTTCTGGGCTTAACCAAACTGCTATTCTTCATGAATCATGATCCTCTTTTAGCTGTACCTGCCGCATTAGCAGTCCTGAAAAGATGATTATTTGGTTAGGCTCATTTTTCTTTTTAGGCTTAATTGTGTGTGTGTGTGTTTTTATCTAGTTAAGTATTTAAATTGTGATTTTGCTTCTTAAATTTCTAATTGAACAATTTTTAATCTATCTGGAATCATAATTATGCAATTTTGACTTTTTAAATTTTAATCGAATAATTTTACTCTTTTATACAATACAATTATATTATTTTAATTTTTCAACTGTCATAATTATATAATTTTTTACCTATTTAAATTACATATACTATAATTTTTATTTATGTATTAAATGAAATGTGTTTATTATTATTAAAATTAATAATATATATAACATAAATAAGTAAAAAAATTATATAAAATCACATAATTTTTGTATTTAAGAAATTAAAATTATTTAATTAAAATTTGAAGGATCAAAATTTTACAATGAGAAACTAAAATTATTTAATTAAAATTTGAGAGATTAAAATTATATTGCAATATTTAATCAAATACACATTTAAGTCATCTTTTTTAATTATGCCGATAAATTGATATAAAAAAATCTTAAATGACTTTAAAATTATGATTATATGTATTGACAATGTTAAATTTTTTATGCCATCAACAATTAAAAAACATCATAGCTGTATTTTTTGAAGCACCTATCATAGAAGTTAATTTAATTAAGTGAGATAATTTAAAATTATTTGATAATATATTTTTTTTTTTGCTATCAACGTAATTTAATTAATTTCCCATAATAAAATTATCAATTTTTAATTATTATATGACAATGACAGTGTAAATTTATATTGTCTATATCTTAATTAAATTTTAATATTAATGTGGATCTGGCCCCTAAGCATTGATTAGGTGTTGGTTATGTTATATACACTAAATAAACAATATGAAATTAGGTGTCAATAAATATTAGATAATAATTTAATAAAGATAACAAAAGCGTCTCAGGTTTTTTAAGTCTTACTAGTTACTACCCATTTTGTATTTTTTATATAAGATTAATTTTGTTAAGTATTTTTAATAGCCTTATAAAACGACTTATTAAACTCGATAAATAATTTAAAATTATCTTCAATGCTTTCATTTGTTTGAGTGATGCTTAATTTATTACAGTTTTTTTAAAAAAATATATAATTAAGTCCTAACGACAATTAAAAGGTAAATAATTTAAAAAAACTTGGATTTGATGTTTTCATTTTAGTTTCTGTATAATTTTATGACCACTTTTAATCTTTACATCTATGTTAAACCTTTTGTTGCGTGTAAGGTTTGATAAGAATATTAGCGTGAAGGGATGAAATATATATATCTGTAAATAATATTTAATCCGTCTTAATTTTGATGAAAAATATTCAAGTTGATGAAATAATACTTGATTTATTAAATTAAAAATGAAGATGAATATATTACATATTTATTTATTTATATTTATATCTACTTAAAATTTATAAATATTTAATTTATTTATAAAAAAATTATTTAAAAATTATATAATTTCTTATTATATTTTTATTTTATATCAAATAAAATTAATTAATATAATTTTATAATTATTATTTTATGTTAGAATTTTTATATTTTATATTTTTTTTTATAAAAAATAATATTTAACTGATTTTTAAATAAATACAAGATATAAATAGAAATACAAAATATGGGCAGAAACACAAATATAGAGTTGGAGAAGGGTGAGGGAATTGAATTGAATTGAAAATTAAAAAGGGTTTTAGAAGTGAGAGAGAGAGAGAGAAGATGGCGGAAGCTGCAGATGAAGCAAGAAAGGAAGAAGAGAAAAGCGATGGAGTGGGGATGACTATGAGTCCATGGGAGCAACACTCTGCGGTTATCAATCTCCCTCGCTTTGACTACAACGCTCCCTCTTCCCTTCTCCGTAACTCCCACTCTGCCTTTCTCATCACTTGCACTATCAGTTCAGTACCACTTCCTCTTCCTCAATCTCAATCTCAATCTCAATTTCTTCTTTCACCCTTTCCCTTATACCCTTTTATCTTCTCTTTCCAGAGCGCGAGAAAAGCGCCACAAAAGAAGCAATCACTATCCTTCACAAGGTACCTTTCTCATCTCTATCCTAACTCTCTCTATTTCGTCTAAATCTATAATTCTCTCTTACGTTGCAGTTCCTTCGCCATGACTCTTCAAACAACCCTAAAGAAGATACTTCTTCTAAGAGAAGAAGAATATGCACACAAGATACTGATCGGGAATGTCAGGAGACCAAGGAAACCGATTCTGCCTCTGAAGATGGTATTCAATTTTTCTAATTCACTTTTTGCAGTTTTCGGAGATACAATGTGGGATAGGGTTTATTAAACAGCCATGGTTATGGATTCTGATTGCAGGTAAACTTTCAAGTCCTGTTAAAGACAAAGATGGAGTGGCTGTTGCTGCTCTTTCTTTGGTTAAGCTCACTAGGAATGGCTTGCTTCTCTTGACTTTCCCCTCTAACATGTCGCCTGACACTGTTAATATTGTGTCCAATATCATTCAAGCTGTGGAGTCTGGGACTGTAAGTTTGCCAGCGTAAGTGAATTACATCGTGCTTATGTTGCTGGTTAAAGATGTTTTGTTTGTTGTTTAATGTTTAGTTTGTCTATGATGCTAGATTGCTAGGTCTAACCTTATTCTGTGCCACCCGAGGGAAAGAAGGGGAAATTAATTAGTATGAAGTGGTTAATAAAGTTGTAGAACTTGTTAACCATTTGACAATTATGTAATATGATTTACCACTTTTCGTTCCCCCTAGGTCCTACTATTTGGCTTGGCTGGACTTTCATGGAATTCTCCCGAAAAGAATTCCTGC